ATGGGAGCATTTCTTCATACTGTACCAATCCCGTTGGATTTCCCCTGTATTTTCCCCTGGGGAAATACAGTTTGCAGATAGTTTTCTCATTAAAGAACTCTACTTCCACCCTAATCTGGGAGATAAAGTCTGTGAAGCAGAGTCCAACTGAAAGAAGCCAAGAGACCTCCGTACAGCCTGTCTTCTCCAAGGACAGGTGGGAAGGGGCTGCTAAAGCAGATTCTGCTGGCCTTCCCCCACACTCTGCACCTTCTCACCATGGTACAATCTGTGCAGAGAAGGCCAGGCTAGGGCAGAGTGAGCAGGAAATGCTTTGAATGCAAATGAGAAAAAAGACAATTTATATTCCAAAGAGTCAACAAGTATCCCATCAGAACAAGCAGGGGAATAGCACTGAAATTATGCAAGTGGCTCACATAAAAAAAGGTAATCTGCTAAAGAGTAAAATTATACAAGCCAGTAAGCACACAGTATAAAGAGCCTTTATTATTGATTCACTCATTCAATATTTCATGGAATTCACATCTTGCTCAACAGTGGAGCAATGAGAGAGAAAATGCTCAGTTTGGTCAGGTCCTGACGTGTACAAGCTTAGACAAACAGCAGTATTGTCAAGGTTGGACTGACTTCATGTTTTAATAAAGACACTGGTTTTAGCATTGTTCTCAGACACGTTTGGTGCTAGATCTGTACACAAAAGTGACACAGGCTGAGGATTTTAGAGATACTTGCAGGAATGAGATCCCCAGTAAATGGACGTGGGTAAGTAACTCCTAGAAGTTATGTTCAAAGTCGCACCTCTTAAAAACGAAAAGAGGAAAGATCAAAGTCGTTGCAGATACTTTTCTGCATTACAGAGAATGCACCTGACATGAACATGTGACCTTAAAAAAGCAATGAACTTGCACTGAAATTGATGCAGAACTCACCAAACATGTTACCAATGTGGCCATTCTTAGTTAGCGGTCGCAGTTCATTTTTTCCTAGTGCGTACTGTTTGTAGTTATCCCAAGCAAATTTCATCATCTGTGAAAAGAAAAATTGAATTAAAGTGCTTAACAGAACTAAAAGTTTTCTGAGCTTCCGCTCTGGGAAGTGATGGGAGCGTTCCCGTTACCGCTGAACCTGGCAACCGGTGGTCCATTAGTTACAAAAAACATGGTCTGCACCAAACATGAATAAACACTCCTTCAGGCTGTGTTCAGCGCTTTGCCATAGTATGGAGTCTCAAACCCACTGGTTCTGTTGCAGAATTTGAGACATTTAAGAAGTGCAACAGTATCCAACACATTGTGCACATACTGTTTCTTTAATCCTGGGCTGTGCAAACCCAGGGGAAATTTTGGAAAGACCTCTCAGTCTCTGAATTCCTGACCTTATTTGAGAAATTACCAGTATATCAGAACGGTAATTAAAAAGGGATAAAAATATAAGGGCTAAAGCCAATATATCCCTAGGTATAACTCCCCCCCCCCCCCCCCCCAGCTGCCCACCCAGCAGCAGTTACACGTACAACCTTAGAAAAACAGCACCACTGAGGTAATAATGCATAATGCACCCAAAACCGCAGTGAGTGCGGAGGGAAAAAAAATTTTTTTAAGGATTTCACAGAAACTTTATTTCTATTGATTAATGGAACACCCTCATACAGAAGAAGGGGGAGAACGACAACATTTTGATATCTTCCTATAAAAACTCATTAGTGGTGGCAACAGTGCTTTCTTAAGAGAGAGTCCTGCAGATGGGCTGGGTGATTTCTAAGAAATCCCTTCCAACTCAAACAATTTCTCCTGGAATATTTAGACGTCCTCCTCAGGGTCAGCACATTAACCTTTCCCTGAGGACTGCAAGGCAGTGGGTTTGTGCAAGCTCCAACGCGCACACACCAGCATAGCTTTTTCTGTCCTCCTGCCCCTTTGGCTCTAGCTGGGAGGAAAATTAAACTGACAAGTATCCTCTCTCCAGCCAGGAGAGACTAGGACTTGTCAGCTCCTAAGGAGCACCTTAAATAAAGCTTCTTTTTATAAATCCACAGAGCCTGGCTTCGAGCAGTTTCAGTCCCAGCATCTCAGTGACCTGGGCATTCTTTGACACACTCCTCGGAAAAAAGTCAGATAACAAAGGGGAAGAAGGTGGCTTCAGCAAATCAACAGTATTCTGCACCGCCGCTCAGCAAATATAAGATTCTTCTAAAATACTTCACTCAAACAAGAAATTCGAGAGAAAATGACAGTTTAAAACAAATCATTCCTCAATGAGAGCGCCCCTGTCTAGTGCTCGCAGTAGCATCTACTGCTCTATTTCAGGACCAGAATATGCAGGTTACTTTGGTCTGAAATTCTTACTGTCATTTCAATTCTTACTTTTGCCCTTCCCTCCTTTGCCGTGTGTTTCACAAACTCAACGTAGCAAGCCTCTGGCAGTATCCTCCTTAATTAGCGCAAACACACACAAAGCCACATCACCAGATATTTTTTTATTTTTTAAACATCTAGCTTCCAAAGTAAAGTTTCACAGGGCTGGTCACATGGACAAGGATAAACATTTGCCGAACTGATTGATAACATTCAGACTCCAACAGCACCAGAAGAAGGAAAGCTGGACAAACAAAGCCAACTCAGGTTTTAAAAACTCAGTGTGGGATGAATTAGTCACTAGGGCTCAGTGCTCCGAGGAAACTAAATAATGACCAGGAGGGGGAAGAACCTTCCCTAAAACTCAAACGTGGCCCAGTCATATGACTCGGGGCATTCATTTCATTTTTTCCCAAGTCTCTGGGGTTTCTCAGTGGCAGCATTACTGTAAATGGGAAGTTCTCATTCTTCACTAATGTGACAGGACAGATCCTTAAGGAACTCTGGACTCTCTCTCTGATGGCACCAAGCAAATACTCTTGTGTCTCAGGGCTTGAACCTGAAGCCTACTGCAGGAAAGATGACGTTTCCACAAAGACAGCTTTCCCGCAAAGACAGGGCTCGCGTACCAGAAACAAAAGAGCTGGGCAATCTATTTGGGTCATTGCTCTTCTAGATCTGAACTGAGGAAGAAGGATCCACCCTCCTGGCACATAAGAGGATGTGCAATTGACTATTTTGTCGCATAAAACTCAGAATATTGTAATTCTGAACCAGCCTAATTTTAAGCTGAGTACAAAATTTAAAGTTATTTCCTTCCCTCAAAACTGTTAACCCCTCCATTCTGGAAGGTCAAAACTTTCTTCCTCAAAGTATACAAGAAACCTAGGCGTTTCTGTCACTCTGGCACAGACGGCTTGACAGGATCCAGAACTGCCTGATGCTGTCGTAACAGGCAAGAATACTACCCCCAACAGCTGCTTCAGTTCTGCAGGGGAAATCTCTTCCTCTCCTTCTGTCTTCTCGCACAAGGAGGGACTACATGAGGCCTGCTGACAGAAACCCCACAGTGGCTCACTTCACACAAGACTCCCAAGTGTTATTTGAATAAATAAGTTTTTTCTTCATTTACCTATTCAACCATTTTGAAGTTGCATATGTCATGGTGTTACAAAAAGTTCCACTACGAAATGATTTCTTGGGTAGCCGTGCTGGCTGCAGTGTTTTAAACTTTCCTCCTGTTATAGTCTGAGCTGACAATCAGCCAGACAGGGATGGATGAGATTGGATATGCTGCCTAGACATACTAAAGGGTTGTCAGTTTTCCTTTATGTGAAAAAAATTTCACTCACTGCTTTTAAATTGCGTGTATTTGGGAGGTTAGCTACGTGACATGGCACCCTTTCATTTTCCAACATCAAACTTTCCTCTCTCTGAAGATGGGCCCAGACACAGCAACCGGAAAAGTTTAAAAGCCAAAAGCATTTGCATCATTCTACTCACTTTGGCTCTCAGCAGCTGTCCTTGCAATCCAAATTTAGCAGTACATCTTCCAAACCACTAAAGAGGATTAATCAAGTTTCTAAGAGTGGGGATTCCACATTTATATACCATACAGAGGACTGAGATCTAGCTCTCGGGAGTTTTACATGGCAGAGGCTCCAAACGCTAGGCTGAAGTTGAAGGGGACAGATCTGAGATGTGCAAAAAACAGAAATCAGCACTGTGAGATGTTTAAGTCTGCTTTCTGATGAAATGCCAAGGTTAGAAGTGAATATTTTATACCATTCTAGCCATGACAGATCACAATACAACAGCATTAAAATTATGCCATTTTAGATGTGAAAGATGACACCAGAACCACAAAAGTTATGCAAATGGATCCATAATTTTAGATTTTGTTCTTACGAATGTGCTGCCTGCCATCTAGTAGACAATTATCAATTTGGCCCTGAAATTCTAATCACCCTGTCTTTCAGCTGATTTACAGCACAGATTTCCAAAATTTGTAATTGAGTTTGTCAGATTGCGCCTTCTTCTCTATGGTCTGTAAGCCACCTTATTTCTGTGAGAGTGCTTCAGCTATGCAATTAGAGTATTTAGATTGATGACAGAGAAGGTAACTAAACTGAATTCTGAAAACCTGCACTACCGCTATCATCATTCTCATCATTCAGGCCACTACTTTTTCTTCTGCTTTTCTCACTCAAAATCCAAAAAAGACCTTACTTTCAACCCATGTATCACATATGGGCAGCTGCCTGCACCCATGCAGAGCCAGGTGCTGAGTGCAAAATCCTGCACCAAGCTGTTTGCAGGTGCAGGGTCTTAGTCTATGTCTTTGCAGGTTAACAACACTGCAGTATCTGGATCACATAAAAACACTGCAGAAGGAGGCTGGGTTAGAATTGCTCTCAGTACATTTTTTATTTAAGGTATGGAAATATTTTTATTTAGCAGTCAGCTTCAAAAATCCTCTTTTAAAGCACTGTGCCAAACAGTGATTGTGCCCCTACAAATGCTGCAGCAGGATACGACACAAGTGTTTAATATTTTCACTGACGCCCCAAACTTCTCCATCTGCTAAACCTAACAAAGATACCACGACTGCACCTACACCATTACTACATATTTGTCCATTCTCTCATTTCTATTCGTTGTTAGCAAGTCTCAATTCGTTCATTTTCTGAGAAAAGTGGCGTCAGGTCACCACTGCTTCTTGGGCTGGCAGTGCTTTCATGATGCTAGCCCAGGATTATGCAACACAGGAGCCACTGAACAGTCGGGATCTACAATTCTGGCCCATAGGTACTACAGTTCTGATTTTCAGAGGTGCCACAACTCCACTGATTTTCAGTGGATCTGAGGTTATGAAAAAAAATCAGACTCTGGTACGAAAATAGTGAGGAAGAACTCAGACCAAAAAAGGCATTTAGCTAGTTCTATGGTCCAGATAATGGAGAAATAGGACTCAAGATAAAAATCTGACAAAGGAAGCATTTTCTGTAAGATATGCACATCTCCTGTTCTTTAATATATGTAATAACTAAGCTACAGAAAACCCATGGTTTAATGTACTTGTAAAAAGCCGAGAGATCTGGGAAGAAGGGGAAAAAAAAAATCACACTTTCATTTCCCTTCCTGGGTTACCAAGGACAATTTCAAAATGCAGAGCATTTTCAAATAGCTATTTGATTAGTTTTATCCATCTAGACTGGGATAATTAGTAAATGCTTAAAAGATGAAATCTAAATATACTAACCAGTCAGCCCCTTTCAAAAGCTTCCAAGAACATTTTACAAAGCTGTTATCTTTATAAGATAACCACTTCTGTGGCTCTGCAGCCTTATTTCTTCAACTCTCCTTCAAATATTTAACTATCAAGCTATCTAAGAAATTTAAGGTTTGGGTTTTCAAAAAGAATATGGGTTTAGTTTTAAGTTCTTTCCCCTTCCCTTCCCATTGCATTCTTACTTGTTTTCCCCCACCTCAAATTACCAGATGTATTTCTCTTCCCTTCTCTGCAGCCGGGAAGCAAATAAAGTGGATGAAGATTAGCTGTCATTATCAGGGTCAGGTCAAATAGGACCTGCTCTTTCCCCCTTTTTAACCTTCCTGGTACCCCAAAACAGATCTGTTCTAGTTCAGTTTTTTTACCTGCAATATAATGCCATGTATTTTCCCCATCTGTGTGAAAAATAATTTGCCAGATGACAAGACTGAGGGGAAAAGAGCAACTGACTGTCAGTTTTGCAGCCAGAAGAAAAAGCCTGCCTGAATACGTCAGGATAAGCCATTTATACTTCGGCAAAATGGTTGGTATTTTTTTCTAATCAGACTTGCATACGCTTGTATAAATCAGGACTGACTGCAAGAAAGGTAATAAACAGTACCAATGTTTATTATCTGTTGCTGTTTTTACTAATATTACAGAGAAACATAAATAACCATACCAGCCCCATGGCAAAACGTT